GGTTCATGGGATGCTTCAGGGTCTATAGCGGGGCCAAGATCTGTGCACCTATTACTGTACATATGGGTGGGCAAGACTCCTCCCAGTCCCTTGGCTTATGGTGCTAGTTACAGAGTCAAAGACAAATAAATGGGCTGTACCCCAGTCCTCAGGATTATGGAGCTGTTTCTGAGTTGGCAAGTCAGCTACCTGGGTGCAGTCCTGTCTTCTTAAAACAACTCTCCTTGTTCTTGGACTGCACCAGGGTTTCACAATCTCCTACCTGAATCCCACATATCCCACAAAGGCACTTTAGTCTGTAAATAGATTCCAACCTATTGGGGGGTGGATACTGTGAGGCATGTTTTATCCATCATCTTGCTGACATCACTCATTCCTTGTGCTATTGATGCTGGCAGGTTGGGTCTGGGGACCCAGACGGAGTCCCACGGAACCAGCCAAAATCCTTGGCTTTGTGTAGGTGGAAAGTCAACCATGAGCCCACAGGAGGTGAAAGCAGAGTTTACTGAAGATAAAAAGAGCAGATAAAATGGGACATGAGAAAAGAAAGGAATTTGAGTCTTGTCTTTGAGGTCTGGGTTTTTTTTTAACTGAGGACAATGGTCTGGTGTACGTATCTTCTCAAGCATCCATGAACTGGTTAGAACCAAGTTGAGAGCCCAGGTGTTGTTATTCCTTGGAGTCAGGAGGTCTTGGCATTGAGATGTCTAACAGCAGTGATCTCAAATACACGTATGATCATTTCATCAGGTCATTCTCACCTGGTCTTTCCTTAGATGTTATCTATTCTAGAGAAATCATTAATTTCTTCTCCCTTACAAGGAGGACATAAGCTATTTGCATTACAATGCATGTGTAAAGCGGGGTGAAGGTACAAGGCCTAGCAGGAATAGAAGCAGGAAAAGGAACAAAGGAGTCCTTCAGTTTCCCTGTCTCACTAATTTTGCTTTTATTTCTTAATATTTTCTGTTCTTTCTGTTTGGAGTTTCTTTTTATTTGGCTTGATTTTCTTTGGAACATACAATTTTTCTCATAATTCCATATATTTTCATGTTTTATTTTTTATTTAGGCAGAATGTTTTGGCTTTTTTTCTTCTGGTAACTTAATCACAAGTTTTTTTTGACAACTATATGTTTAGTTTCCAAATGTCCATTTAAAAAACCATCTTCATGGGGCACCTGGGTGGCTCAGTGGATTAAAGCCTCTGCATTTGGCTCAGGTCATGATCCCAGGGTCCTGGGATCAAGCCCCACATCGGTCTCTCTGCTCAGCGGGGAGCCTGCTTCCTCCTTTCTCTGCCTGCCTCTCTGCCTACTTGTGATCTTTGTCTGTCAAATAAATAAAATCTAAAAAACAAAACAAAACAAAACAAAAACCCCATCTTCATGCAGGTATGAATTACGTTCAATAAAATTCACACATATTGGTGTGTAGGCCAGTGATTTGACAAATGCATACCTCTGTGTAACCACAAACCCAGTCAAGCTAGATACAATTTTCATCTTCTGAATCAGTTCTATTTTTCTCTTGCCATTCAATCTCCCCTAGCAACACCACACCAGGTAACTAATATTCTTTTTGTTATTATAGATTAGAGTTTCCTTTCCACAGTTGCATATCAATGGCTTTATAGAAATGGATTCTCAAATCTGGCTGCTTTATTTTCCCATAATGTCTGTGACATTCTTCTCTGTTGTTTCTTGCATCAGTAGCTCATTCCTTTCCATCATAGACTTCTGTTGCATTATATGGATATAAAATTTGTTTATTCATTCCAATGTTGATGGACTTTTGGAGGGTTTCCAGGTTTTGGCAACTATGATTGAGCTATTTGTGAACATTTGAATTCAAGTCTTTGAATGACCATATATTTACCTAAGTGGTAAATACCTAAAAGGAGAATTGCTGGGTTATGTGCATGATTAAAAATCTGTGAGAAGCTGCCATGCTGAATTTCAAGTTAACTAGCCTTTTACATTCCCACCAGCAATGTATGAAAATACCAGTTGATTCTCATCTTTATTAACAAGATGGTCAGGTTTTAAATATTAACCACTATAATGTACATAGTGTGGTATATCATTTTCCTTTAATTTTATTTTGCTGGTTGACTAGTGATGGTGAACACCTTTTCATCTGCTTAACGGTCATTGTTATTTCTCCTTTTGTGAAACTTAATTTTTTCCCCAAATTTAATTAAGTAGTTCATCTTATAATTAAGTAGTAATAGACATTTTGATATTTGGGAAACAATTCCTTTATCAAGTATGTGATTGGCAAATATTTTCTCACATTTTGTGTCATATCTTTTGAGTTTCTAAGCATTTATTTCCAGGAACATATGCCTTAACTTTTGATGAAATCCAAACTGACCATTTTTTAAATTATTTATTTTGTGTTCTACATAGGACATTTTTTCCAACTTAAAGTTGCAAAGATTTGTCATGCTTTTTTTTTCCTGGAAAGTTTACATATGTGCTTTTACATTCATATCTATGATTGATTTCCAGGTATTTTGTGTATGGAATAGGGTTCATCTCTTTTTCTCATAGGGATTTTCAGTTGTTTATCACATTTTGTTGGGAATAGTATCCTTTTACTCACTGGGTAACCTGTCATATTTATCAGAAACCCATTGAATATAGGTGTGTATATGTTTTTGTCTATTTCTGGACTTTTTATTCTTTCCCACTAATTTATATACTTATCCTTACATCATTATGCCCTGCATAATGTCCTCCAATTTGTTCTTAATTGTGGAAGGTAGAAAAATGGCCTCCCCCAAAGATGTCCATGTCTAATCCCTGGTTCCTGTGATTATGGTATCTTACATGGAGAAAGGAAATTTTCAGGTATTATTAATGTTAAAGGCCTTGACATGGAGAGGTTATTCTTGATTTTCTAAATGAGCTCAGGGTGATCCCACATGGAAAGGTGGGTGAGATAGAGAGAGACAGAGAAAGAGACCTTTGGACAGACAGATACATGAGGTTAAAGAAGGATCAGAGAGAGACAGTAGCTGGCTTTGAAGATGGAGAAAGACACCATGAACCAAGAAATGTAAAAAGCCTCTAGAAGCCAGAAAAAACTAGAAAACAGATTCTTCCTCAAGAAAGGAACACAACCCTCTAACACCTTAATTTAGTCCAGTGGTGTATCTGTCAGATTCTGAACTGACAAAATTTTGAGAAATAAATTAGTATTGCTTCAGCCTGTAAGTATGTGAATTTTCTTTTTGTAGCCGCAGTAGAAAATTCATACATTAATTTCTAATGTGTTTTGGCTTTTCTAGCTGTTTTCCATTTTCTTTGAGTTTTAGTATTGTTAATTTCTACAGAAAGCCTACTAGGATTTTTGCTGGGATTCAGTGAATCTGCATATCACTTTAGGGATAGTTGATTGTAAAAATATTTTTTCCTTCAATTTAAGAACCTGGTTTAGCTCTCCATGTATTTAGGCCTCCTTTAATTTTTCTCAGGGAAGTTATATAATTTTCAGACTATAGGTCATGTACAGGTTTTGTTAAATCTTTCCTTTTGTGGCACAGGCTTTTTCTTTTAATACTGTTACAAACGATATTTCAAGTTTTGATTTTCCACTTCCCATTACTATTGTATGGAATACAATGTCATTTAATGTGTTGACCTTTTATCATGATCTTGCTTAATTTACTATTAGTTTGGTACTATTTTTGTAGGTTCTATTGGTTATTACATCAATTATAGAGTATCTGATGATTACAAAGATTAACAGGACTCCACAGCATAGATTTACATCAGGCTTTGTAAAGGTTAAGGACACAGCCTAACAGAAGAAATAAAGGCTACTGCAGGGAAGGCTGAACCCTTACCAGCACAGCCATCCAGCCTCATGTCTCAGCATGTTCTTCAGCTGTTGGTTCAAAACCACCAAGATATAGACAAGGTATCTCAATTTCAGGTAGGCTAGCACACAGATTTACAAAGAAGTCTCATACATCTTTATGTTTACATACTTAAAACTAGTCTGTGCAACCAGTTAAACCAGGTATAAACCACAAATCTATATACTCCTCCAAAATGTAAACGAGCTTGTGCAGGGTGTCTCCAAGGGAGTTTCATAGCTAAGCAGCAAATTATAAATGACTAGGTACACATCCCATATAAGTGACTAGGTACACATCCTGGGCCAGGACTTAGCATTAGAATTCTAGGCATGCCTGGAGATAACCATAGTTTCATTCCACCTATAAAATAATCGTATCCTTACACAGTTCATCTTCCTTATCCTTGGTCAAGCTTTCCTAAGTACAAATTGCTCATGAGTATTCTTTTTTACACGCATTTTAGATAATATTTATAGAATAGAAAAAGTAAAAAGACAAGCCCAATGACACACAGGTATTGCTTTCAAGAAACATTTGAGTTTTAAGAAATATTCCAGCATAACCATGTTTCTGATTTTGACCACTCTCTTCCCTCCTTCCAGAACTTAAATTTGAACTTTGTGAAAGGTATTAGTAGAGTGATTTGTTTTAATTGTAATATATTTTCCATTTCAAGATTTCTTATCATAGAAGAGAAAATGTCTTAACATAATAAACACATCAATCTTTTTATTTAATTACCCATTTTCTCTGGTGTATGTATTGTAACTTCTGGGATTCACAAAATGCTATTCCGGTTTCCTAGAAAAAAGTATCATAAACTGTAATGGCCTGTTTTGTTACTAGCAGACTATGAATGCATAAGTGTAATTGAATCGAGAAAAATGTTCCTAACATAAATTTTCAGAGGGTTTTAATGGCAAGAAAATGCTGTGTAGAAATATTGTCTTCACTTCTGGTAGCTATTTGAAGACAACGATTTATCGTGGGTCTTTTTAGATTAATTTTATGTAGTGTTTCATTCATTAGCACATACTAATTGCTCAAGCTTTTTGTTCTAGGGATGGGATTTACTAAGTTAGGGTGTTCATGAACTACCATTATAAATAAATCTTCAATTCTGTTATGAATTAGAGTCTTGTGATATGCCAGTGTTTGTAAATGCCAGACTCAAGAGAGGTGGCACAAGGTTTCAGCTCAATGACCAGCTGGGCTTTGAATGCCATGATGGTTATGAAAGCAGACTTGGACACACCGCAGGCTCCATAGTCTGTGGTAACACTGGTTGGTCTACCCACATGTTATGGTAAGTAACTTTTTTCAAGTATTCTTTTTTCTTTTTCTTTTTTTTTTTTTAGGATTAAAAAAACCTGTAATTGTTGAATGACAATGTTCTGCACCTGAAACTAATATACTATTGTCAACTGTACTTCAATTAAAAAAAAACAAAAAACACTTTTTGTCTGCAACTAGCAGTTATCAGTTACCTGAAAATAAGGTTTGTAAAAAGAAAACTGAGTTAAGAAAACGCTATATGTTCCTTCTAAAAATATTTGAGTTATCTGGACATATTCTTAAGGCACAATAATTAAAATCAAGGTGAATGCTTCTAATTTAATGTCAACTGGGAAGAGAAGGTATTCTGAAACCCAAAGAGAATAGCCTATCTTTAACATAGTACATTAATGTAGTGTTTCCAATGGGTCTTATACATTACGGATTTGTGATTAAGGTACAATTATTATTATTATTATTATTATTATTATTATTTTTACTAAATGAAAGCTTTTAAATTATTCTAAACTTAGTTCTCCTTAGGAACATTGTAGTTTCCTACAACTTCCTCAACTATTTTGCTCTTGAGTTTCTGCTTTACCCCTCCCACCTTGAGAGTTAATTTCTGCAGGTCTGGAGAGGAGCTCTTTATTTTCTGACTTTGACAAGTTCTGTGGACTATTGTGTGAATCTTTTTTGTGTTTGCCAAACAGCTGTTCAGAATTAGAAAGAGAGCTTGAATGTGTGGGAAAATGAGTGGATGTAGAATATGCAAAAAGAATATGGAATGACAAGAACAGAGAGCACAGGACTGAGCCCTGAAGCCTCCTAACATTTAAGTGTCAGACAAAAGAGGAATCGGTAGTGATGTAGGTAGAAAAAATGGAGGTTGTGAAAATTGGGGGGATAAAATATAAGAATGAATGTTGTCATAGAAGTAGAGAGAAGAAAGGGATTAAAGGAAGAGAGAATATGCCAGGAGCCTGTGGGTCAGCCTGGATGGGCTTTCATTCTAATTCCATTACTTGCCAAGCATGAATCTGAGGGCAACATATCAAGCCTAGTTGAAGCTTTGTTGACTCCTCTTTATCTGTAACATGATTTAAAATGCATACTTGTTCTAATATTTCAATAAGTTGCTTTGGTAGTAGACTAAATAAGTCGATACATCTATCTAGAAGACTGAAACTATGACAGATTTGGCTACTTGGAGGCCAGCAATAACTGTGACAGAAATAGTTCTGGAAGGAATACATGGTGCAGAACTTAAATAGACTTTACTGAAGGAAAGTGATCAGGAAGAACTTCAGTACGGCACGTGGTCATAACTCTTTCAAGACGTTTGTGTGAATATGGTGGATAGGAAGTGTAGAATATGGCTAGAGGAAATCAGACACCAAAGGGAAGATTCTTTTTTTTTTTTTTTTTTTTTTTAAAGATGGAGGACATCAGAGCCAAGTGAATGCTCAATAGGATAGAATAGAGACTGAATATGTGAAGTAGACATTTCCTAGTGGGGGTGGGAGCTCTGTGGAAGTACGAGACTTTTGTGGCAACACAGCCACTTCCAACTTTGTAATAGGTGGAAGGAAGGAAAACATGTGTGAATCTCATGCTGGAAAGAAGCAGGAGCTGATGGTTTCCATTTTCCTTTGAACTATAAGACAGAGTCACCTGAGATTGAATGGTGCATGAGTTAGGAGGAGAAAGAACACTTAGGAAAAATAAAAAAAGGTTTAATATAGAGATTTCAAGAAAGGGGCACCCAGTGAGTTTATTACGGAGATGAGGTAGGCTTGCTTAGTTGTGTCTTGGTCCTGGCTAAAGTTGATTAATTCAGGCTGTCAACAAACACCTGTTTATGAGCTAGAAATAGGCCAGGAAAGAATGGTGAAAACTCACTAACATGGCTCTGCCTTTTAGGAGCTTTCATTCCAATATGAAAACAAATAAACAAATAAACAAAAAACCCAATAAATTAAGCCAAATAATGAACCAGATGATAAAAACATTTAAAATATATTTTCTACATAACTGTGTTCAGAGAAATAAGAGAACCCAAGAACTTTGAAAATGGGAGGGTGGGGATGGAGGGCTCTATTTTCTATAGGACAGCATGTGCATAAAGAAAGGCTGAAAACCCTTCAGGATAGAGATGGGGGTCTGTGTGACAGCTGAGACAGCAGAGAACTTGAGCTATTTAAAAAATCCAAAGATCAAAAAGACTGAAGTCTGGATTGCCACAGGGAGAGAGAGATGTCAGTTACGTTGGAAGCTTAGGCAGGAAATGGATCATAAAGAGCTTGGATTTTCTTCCAAGTAAAAGCAGAGGCTTTTAAGATGAGCATCAGTTTCTTTTCTGGGACTAGAAGCCAATTCAGGTTTTATGAAATCAGAAGCTTATACAGTGTTGAGGGTCCCTCTTTAAAAAAGAATTCAAAATTATGAATATGTAACTGCTGTGATTTTAACAATGTCACCACATGTCACAAGAATGGGATAGCAGTAAAAACTGATATGGCCAATAAGACTTTTATTGCAAATTTTATAAAACTTAAGACCTTGTGAACCCATTGGTAAGAAGTCACCAGCATGGTAAGACCTTCCAAAGTTGATTGAACAGTTTAGTGTTCTTTTCAAATAACTTCCTTCTATCATGTAGCAGAAAACCGCACAAAGATGGGCTGATATCTGAGTTTATTGTCCTCAGCATTCTCTAATTCACAGAGAGGTTTCCAAAGAATTATCATTGGGGTACCTGGGTGGCTCAGTTGGTTAAGCATCTGACTTCAGCTCAGGTCATGATCTCAGGGTCCTGGAATGGAGCCCTGTATTGGGCTCCACACTCAGTGCAGAGTCTGCTTGTCCCTCTCTCTCCCTTCCCCCTGCCCCCTTTGTGCTCTCTCTCTCTCTCTCAAATAAATAGAATCTTTAAAAAACAAGAATTATTGTTATCATAAACCACTTAAGTCAAATAGTGTTTCCAACAGTCTTAAATAAATGTACACTTAAAAAAATTTGTACTAGCATTTCCAAGTATCAGTGTCTGCATTTATGATTTTGACTTTTGATAAAGATAAATATCTTTAATTCAGGGTATACCCATTCAAACTCTTCTTTATATTATATTTTAAAAGTCAGTATCTCTGTATAACAGTTGGAAAATAACCAACAGCCAAGATTTAAAAATTACTATTATTAGTACTACTACTACTGTTTTTTGGTGTTGTTAAGGCAGAATTTTTCACAATGTGATGAGATAAACACAAAATATATAAACAAGTGTACATACAAATATAAGAATTGCTATGTAGAAGATTGAAATAGAATTTTAGGAGAGAATCCCTGTAGTTCTCATCAAGTGTGACCTTCTCAGCCCAGCTATAAAACTCAACATTAAAGCAAAAAAGCAAATTTGCAGAGTTATTTTTTTGTTGCATTATGTTTTTAAAAATTAATTATTTTTATTAACATATAATGTATTATTTGCCCCAGGGGTACAGGTCTGTGAATCGTCAGGCTTACACACTTCACAGAACTCACCATATCACATACCCTCCCCAATGTCCATAATCCAACCACCCTCTCCATACCACTTCTCCACCCAGCAACCCTGTTTATTTTGTGAGATTATGCGTCTCTTATGGTTTGTCTCCATCCTGATCCCATCTTGTTTCATTTTTTTCCTTCCCTACTCAACAAACTCCCTCTCTGCCTCTCAAATTCCTCATATCAGGGAGATCATATGATATTTGTCTTTCTCTGATTAACTTATTTCGCTCAGCATAATACCCTCTAGTTCCATACATGTCATTGCAAATGGCAAGATTTCATTTCTTTTGATGGATGCATAGTATTCCATTGTATATCTATACCACATCTTCTTTATCCGTTCATCTGTTGGTGGACATCTAGGCTCTTTCCATGGTTTGGCTGTTGTGGACATTTCTGCTATAAACATTCGGGTGCACGTACCCCTTCGGATAGCTACATTTGTATCTTTAGGGTAAATACCCAGTAGTGTGATTGCTGGGTCATAGGGCAGCTCTATTTTCAACTTTTTAAGGAACCTCCATGCTGTTTTCCGGAGTGGCTGCACCAGCTTGCATTCCCACCAACAGTGTAGGAGGGCTCCCCTTTCTCCGCATCCTCACCAATACCTGTCGTTTCCTGACTTGTTCATTTTAACCATTCAGACTGGTGTGAGGTGGTATCTCACTGTGGCTTTGATTTGTATTTTCCTGATGCCAAGCGATGTGGAGCACTTTTTCATATGTCTGTTGGCCATTTGGTTGTCTTCTTTGCAGAAATGTCTCTTCATGTCCTCTGCCCATTTCTTGATTGGATAATTTGTTCTTTGGGTGTTGAGTTTGATAAGTTCTTTATAGATTTTGGATACTAGCCCTTTATCTGATATGTCATTTGTAAATATCTTCTCCCATTCTGTCAGTTGTCTTTTGGTTTTGTTGACTATTTCCTTTCCTGTGCAAAAGCTTTTGATCTTGTTGAAGTCCCAATAGTTCATTTTTGCCTTTACTTCCCCTGCCTTTGGCGATGTTTCTAGAAAGAAGTTGCTGCAGCTGAGGTTGAAGAGGTTGCTGCCTGTGTTTTCCTCAAGGATTTTGATGGATTCCTGTCTCACATTGAAGTGTTTCATCCATTTTGAGTCTATATTTGTGTGTGGTATAAGGAAATGGTCCAGTTTCATTCTGCTGCATGTGGCTGTCCAATTTTCCCAACACCATTTGTTGAAGAAACTTGTCTTTTTTCCATTGGACATTCTTTCCTGCTTAGTCGAAGATGAGTTGACCATAGAGTTGAGGGTCTATTTCTGGGCTCTCTATTCTGTTCCATAGATCTATGTGTCTGTTTTTGTGCCAGTACTGTACTGTCTTGATGATTACAGCTTTGTAATAGAGCTTCAAGTCTGGAATTGTGATGTCACCAACTTTGGTTTTCTTTTTCAACATTCCTCTGGCTATTCGGGGTCTTTTCTGGTTCCACATAAATTTTAGGATGATTTGTTCCATCTCTGAAAAAAATTGATGATATTTTGATAAGGATTGCATTAAATGTGTAGATTGCTTTAGGTAGCATAGATATTTTCACAATATTTGTTCTTCCAATCCATGAGCATGGAACATTTTCCATTTCTTTATGTCTTCCTCAATTTCTTTCATGAGTACTTCATAGTTTTCTGAGTACATATTCTTTGCCTCTTTGGTTAGGTTTACTCCTAGGTATCTTATGGTTTGGGGTATAATTGTAAACAGGATTGACTCCTTAATTTCTCTTTCTTTTGTCTTATTGTTGGTGTATAGAAATGCAACTGACTTCTGTGCATTGATTTTATATCCTGATACTTTACTGAATTCCTGTATGAGTTCTAGCAGTTTTGGAGTGCATTCTTTTGGGTTTTCCACATGAAATATAATATCATCTGCAAAGAATGAGAGTTTGCCTTCTTTTTTGACGGTTTGGGTGCCTTTAATTTCTTTTTGTTGTCTGATTGCTAAGCAGAAAAGTCTGATTGCTTAGTGGAAAAGCTCTCAATTTTACCCCTTTGAGAATGATATTCGCTGTGGATTTTTCATAGATGGCTTTAATGATATTGAGGTATGTACCCTCTATCCCTACACTTTGAAGAGTTTTGATCAAGAAAGGGTGCTGTACTTTGTCAAATGCTTTTCCAGCATTTACTGAGTATCATATGATTCTTGTTCTTTCTTTTATTAATGTATTGTATCACATTGATTGATTTGTGAATATTGAACCAACCTTGCAGCCCAGGAATAAATCCCACTTGGTCATGATGAATGATCCTCCTAATGTACTTTTGGATCCTATTGGCTAGTATTTTGGTGAGAATTTTCACATCTGTGTTCAAAGATATTGGTCTGTAATTCTCTTTTTTGATGGGGTCTTCGGTTTTGGGATCAAGGTAATATTGGCCTCATAAAATGAGTTTGGAAGTTTTCCTTCCATTTCTATTTTTTGGAATAGCTTCAGGAGAAAGGTATTAATTCTTCTTTAAATGTTTGGTAGAATTCCTCTGGGAAGCCATCTGGCCCTGGGCTCTTTTTTGTTGGGAGGTTTTTGATGACTGCTTCAATCTCCTTACTTTTTATGGGTCTGTTCTGTTTT